TGAACTGCACACAGATATTCAGTCAGAGCTTTGTGTGTGTGTGTGTGTGTGTGTGTGTGTGTGTGTGTGTTAAAGCTGAGCTGATGAGGTCAGAAAGAGCCATTAAGATTTCCGTTAAGCAGCTTGTTAGAGTGCACCAGGATCTGTCTGTGGTTCTTCCGGTCCACTGTCCTCTGCTGTGAGGCTCCAACAGGGGGCAGCAAAGACCAGCTGACTGTCCCACTGTCTGTCTGTCTGTCTGCTGTCCTCTCCTGCAGGTTTGCGCTTTCTTAAAGTAAAGCCGTTCTTATAGGACAGATTAACATCTATCTTAAAACAAGAGCCCAGAGGATTCCAGTACTGTCCTTAAATACACACTTGATTTACCTTCACGAGACTGTGAATTGTAGAGAGAAATATTTTACTACTTCACTACGCCTAATTGATGGCTTAAAAATTTTCTCTAGCAGTTTCTAATATTTTGTCACCACTATTTCATAATATGAATTTGAATTTATTGCATCTCATTAAAGAGGGAGACCTACATTTTCAGCTTTTTTTAATAGATCAAAGCAAACAAAGGATGTTATTAATTGATCATGGAAATATCCAGCAGGTTAATGTATAATTGCAGCTCCGCTTCAATTTAATGCTGCTTCAACAACCAACACACAGGAGGATTTGCACCAAAAAGCACTGAAACTTTAAAATTATTTTGATAAAATTATCAGATTAACAAAGGTGTATTCAGTTTTTCACACACTCTACATCACACAAGTGACAGGAGAGGTTTAAAGTCCACAGTAGGACATAAACTGTAAGGGTCACATGTGGGCAGCTCCACTTGAACACCTACTTTTGCCGTGCTTTCTGCTGAGATGTCAGGACGGATGCTAGCAGGATGTAGGCCAGTCAGTAAACAGCCTGTTTACTCCAAGTCTGAGCACCACACTGCCAGTATATTTAGTAAGTGGGTTAGTGTGCAGTCTCTCTGCCCAGACCAGGTCATGCTGAACCAGGCTAATCTACTCACTAACTTCAAGGAAAACTGCGGTATTTTTAAAACTGGGACCTACTTTCCCATCTTCTAGAGTCTTTAGGTGTTGTGAACGTTGAGGGATTGTGGTATAATCAGCAGCCATTAATCGACTGTAACACAATCACAAAATTGTCCCGAGTCAAAGTGCTTGTGTGACCCTGAAGTCAAGAGTGAGTTACCACGACAATAAATTGCTCTCTTTGGTGG